TGTTCTTATGACTCTCGGAGCTCACAAAGCAGCGGATAAACTCACGTACCAAAATGCAAATTCGGAGCAGAGCGCTGAAGTCTCAATCTCTCGTGGATTGTTCTCCCAACGTGACACTTGCGCACTACGGGATCGTGATTCAGGAAGTCTCTCCGCGACTCGCGGGGAAGTTATTCTGGTAACGAGCCGTAAAGTAGCGCTCGACCGCAAGAAGTTCGCCAGATGTGAAAGAGGATGCAAATCCGAAGCGAGGCCCAGCTCTCTTAATTTCCAATGGATCACCTCCTCGGAACGATGCTTTCGCATCGTAGACGGTAATTAGGAATTAGCGACCCGGCGAAGGTGCCTCTATAATGAGTCATAAAGCATCGTTTGACCGCGAAAATGCTATCATACGGCACGAGGAAATGCAAATTTCAACCGGAGATACCCGTAGTTCTCGACTATCCTAGAAACCGTCATCGGAATCATCGGAATCAAACGACTCGAGAATCGTGACGTCCCTAATAACAGACTGCGGGAATTTTGCAGCTGATCGACATGCCGACAGCACTTGATATGTAAACATATCATCGATATTATCGGCAACTGTTACGAGCGCGCGCATGATTATATATTTTCAACTAAAACTATCTTCTATTTTCCACACGAAGAGCATAAAAAAATTAAAAAGAGTTTAAACAAATATATATTTTCACGCTACAGTTTTCTTTCTTAATTCCGCATTTATTGCATGCATGTTTATCTAATGTTTATCTATTAGTTATAAAAATTATTTAACGCGAATTTTATATATACCAGGTGCCCGATAATAACCGTATCAGTTCTCGGGGGCATCTAAAGCAGATTAAACTGAACAAAAAAATTCTCTAAATTCGCAATTATTAACGAGATATTAATGTTTAGAAAATTGGCGAATAAACGCGTATATCCATCCGGCTCACCGCTGAATGTAAGCGCGCGGCGAGCTGGCGGCCAGTTTAATCTGCTCAATCTTGAATAATCGACGACAAGCATCGTGTTAATTCTTTCGCGAAAATGACAATTTCAAGTATTAACAGATCATACAAAACTTATCGATTTATCGTTTTATATTTTTCAATATTTAATAAAATTCAGGCTTAAATGAAATAAATAAGAATAAAGTCAATGTGACCGACTCGCCGCGCGCTTGCATTCAACGGTGGGCCGGACGGATATGCGTTTATTCGCCAATCTTCAAAAATTAATCTTTCATTAATGATTGCGAATTTTGCAAAATGGTACAGGACTTTTCTGTTTAGTTAATCTGCTCTACCAGCCCATGAGAGCTAATGCGGTTATTACCGGACACCCTGTAGATATATATATATACCTATATATATATATATATATATATATATATATATATAATAGTGCACATTAAATTTTCGTGGAGATTAAAATTTTGATTTGAAGAATCATAACTTGTTCACTCTGTAATGCCGCATGCAATACGATATTATTTTGACAGTAATCACAAAAGTAGCTAGAAAACACTATCTGTTAGCACCATGACGTTAATTCAGTCCTATCGTAACTGCGAATTAGCTCTATGTCAACCTCAGCGCTCCGACCTGTTAAAGACATAACGGATTACTATTGAAGCGTGTATTTCGACATCCGTTCCGGATAATCGCGTGTCTTTTCGTCCGGCTCGCTTATGGCGACAAAATACCTAAACGGCGGTCCGGGCGCGGGCAGGCAGTTCGGGAGAAGTACGGAGCTAATAGAGTTTCGAAGTGTATCGTCACGCGAGCGCTCTAACGAGCTTAAATTTCGGTTTAAATTTGTTCGACGGGACGAAACGTAAACAAAACGAGAGCGTATACGATAGCGTGCACGCGTACACGGGGCCCGCACGTGTCAACCGCCGCCGCTCAATTCAATGACAATCCTCGTGCTTTCGAGAGGAACTTCCAAGGTTTTTGCGCACGTCGCGTGCGTTCGCGCGAACACGAGAACGAACAGTTCCGATGTCAATCTCGCGTTTCTCTCTTCTCCTGACTGACTTTTTTTGTCCTTCCATCGTCTCTCTCACCGAGAGAGACTGAAATTATTATTCCGATTAAATTCTAGCGTTACCCACGCCTTTGCTACGGAGCCGCGCTGCAACGGATAAGCGCATCGCGCGGTGCGCATACGTATATACGTACCTATGTACGCGCGAGTCGTCCGAGAAACCGGTTTCCCGTACGTTTTAATTTCACGCCGACATCGGCGCAATTCAGTTTACACGGATACTCCCCGTTTCCTAACGCGCGCGGCTCGCGAGATTAACGCACCGGCCGATCATGCGTATGCGTGCACGCGGGCGCGCGCGTGTGTGCGTTTTCGGGCATTCCGCGGGGCAAAGTGCACTGTGCGTTATGTGTCGCGTAAAATCTGTACTACGAGACCGCGCGAAAGAACGCTTTAATCCTGTGAAAATCCATTGCAATTATCTCAATGCGTCATCGCTCCTCTGCAATTATCTCTCGTGAGCCAAGATCAAAGTATAGGTAATTATATCGCGGTGAGAGATATGTGGCAACAAGTTCTGTCATTTCGAATATCGTCTCTTTGTTTTGGTCACTTGTAAGTTACGAGTCGCGTATGCGCTACGCGTACAGTTGATTGACAGACATTTTTATGAAATAGATACTACCGGTATTTATCTTTTTCGACGGAGTGTCAAGGTTTTGCTGTTCATTATCTCGGTTGGAGCACGTTACGACGAATAATAACTTCATTCTACAAAGTGTCATCTCTGTTATGATTACTCACAGATTGCGTTACATGTCATACAAAATTCACGCTTTTATAAAATGTAAGTATACCGGCAATTATCCCAAGAGAGCAGCGCGATAATGATCTCAATAGAGCACAGTACACGGAAATATTGGAAAATTATCCAAGAATGTCATTTCTATTTTAATCACTCGCAGATTGCGTCCGGCACTTATACGTGCCGTAATATGAATGAGTGCGAGAGAGAGAGAGAATTATATTATGATACAAAAATTATTGATAATTATCCCGCGACGTAACATCTGAGTGATCAGATAACGCTATACATTATGTTTCGGTTTATAATTTCGATTATAAGTTTCATTATAATTATAGTTTCTATTTATAATCAAAGTATTTGTTTTTTATCGAATCTCACAAATTGCATTTTAAACATTATGACTACAACTGTTCGATTAATATTAAACGTCATGTTTATTAATTATTAATTACAAAGCATTATTTAGCGCGTGCTGTATTTGTGATTTATGATTTAAAATTTTTAAGCGATCGACATTTTTTAATCGCTTTGCGGTTTCACACGAAATGTTTTAACAAACTTCCGTTCACAGTGACGAGTGTCCAAATTTAAACGAACTGCACCATTTTGAACGACGATACAGTCTTAGTCTTGACACCATCGAAAATCGATCGGCTATCGGCGTTAAAGTTTCACTGCTTTCTCACTGATCGACGCACACTATCGATTAAAGAACAGTCCATCAGTGTACTCCGATTTTTCACTCGTTGATCCAACGAAAGCGTGATGATCATCTGTGGCGAGTCTCGTAGAAATCAGCAGCGAGAATAGACTGGAATTGATTGCGATCGATGCGACGCGTCGATAAAAAAAATTGTCCATTAAGAAACTGTGATTCGGCCTGTCAATAGCGCCGAAATTTCAGACTGGGACACACTTGCGGAGAAGCGTACAGCTACAGTTTCAGTTCAGCCGCATATATTTAACATCATTTTTGTGCGGTAGTTTATCTCAAAACGTCATGTTAAAAAGTGCGACAGCTGTACGGCCGCAGCCTTTGACTTCAAGCGTCTTTTTTTTTCACTAGAAGAGCATCACATATTCGAAAACTTTCGATATTTCCAATCAGTTTGAATATTTCTTTTTCGGAAAAAGATGCAATCGGAGTTCGTTAGTGTCGACAAAGTGATAATTACTCAATTGACTTTGTCGACACGTAACGAACTCCGATTGCGGTCGTCCCTCCAAATTGCCTCCTTGGCGGGTCGATTCTCCTTGCGAGAGAGCAGATCTTCTCTTTCTTCTCCTCCTCCTTCAGCGTTTCCGTCCTCTTCGATGTAGCGAATGCGTCCGACGGGACTCCCATCAGGATTTACATGTTACTGCGCAGGTATCTCACTTTAGGTACCGATATCTCGATCCGTTGCTCCGACGTCGCTTAACATCACTCACACCATACCGAGACACTTTCGATGCACTGTTCGTCGTTCAACTCTCTGCTCTCACTCGTTGTCACCGTCCTCGTTGATTTTCCATTTCATCACGATTTATTGCGCGACTGTATCTTGCAATCACCGTAAAACTGAAGCGTTTTATTTATTTATTTATTTATTTAATCCGCGGACACGCAAAACGATTAATGCCCGTTGTCGCCCATGTTTTACTTCGAAGATCGATTTATCATCGCGTACGCGTGAATAGAGGATTATTCTTGGTTAGACGCGATCGTTTTTAAGATAATCATTATGTAACGCGGCGAGAATTTGAAAGGTCTCGATTCGCGTCAGCGTTCGCGAAAATATTCTTCGGTATGGACTTCGTCGGGTTACGTGTCGGGTGCCAAAGTGTCCGAAGCACCTATTCGCAGAGAATGTCACCGAAGTTAATGATCGTCTCTGGCGGTCGCTGTCACGTCTGGAGGTAATCCAAAAGTCAAAACCGCGGTCTCGCGGCGAACGGTTTCTCGACGAGCGTTCGTCCCGTTTCGGAGTGCAGCTGATCTTGTTGCGCGCGCGAAACAACCGCGTGTCTATCCAGCGAGCGTCCAAGTACGGTATGTCAAAGTCCGGTCATGTCGTTGTGTCACGTAAACGACGCGTGTGTACCGTAGACATGTCGCGGATGTCTCGTGTGACGTACCGTCACCTCGCGGCGAAGGGACGATTTCACGCGGCTCGGTACGGTACGGAGCGCGAGTGTGTCATACGTGCGTGAATTCGACGTGTCAACTCACCTGCAGTATGTATCCTCGCGTGTAATCCTCGTGGGTCCAACCGAAGGCAGCTAGAATACGTGTCACTTGCGCGGGGGGCAACTGGTTGAACAACTGATCGAGCAAGATCTTAAGGCGTATCGGCAGTGCGCGCGAGCCGTAGAGTACGAGGGATGCGACGTCAAACGCGGCCGTCGGCTCGACAGTCTCTGAAGCCGGTGGCCTCTCCTCCTTCTCCGCGACTTCGCCACCACCACCGGCACAACCACCTCCACCACCGCCGCCGTTACGGTCCCCACCGGGGGTACCGCCGCCACCACTACCACTGTCACTGCCACCACCACTACCGCCACCTCCGCCGCCGCCGCCGCCGTCGCCGTCACCTCCGCCACCCCCTCCTCTACTTCCTGTACTACCAGTCGCTGGTGCCGTCATCGTCGTCGTCGCGATCGTCGTCGCCGCCACCGTCGTCGTCGTCGTCGTCGTTGCCGCCACCGTCGTCGTCGTCACCGATGCCGGGTGCTTTACCCTCCCTACGACGCTTTTGTCCTCCCTACCAGAACGGGGGCAGGAGACGACATCCCCACCACCCACACTACCACCACTACCACCGAGCCGCTGCTGTTGTTGAGCATGCTGCTGCTGCTGCTGTTGCTGCTGCTGCTGCTGCTGTTGCTGCTGTTGGTGGATGTTTGACAGTCGCGCCAGCGCTGAAACACAAGCAAGTGGAAAAGAGAGAGATCAGAAAAGAACCTTCTTGCCGGTAATGCACGCGTGCGTGCAAGCGCGCGCGTTATGTATCTGTGTGTGTGTGTGTGTGTGTGTGTGTGTGTGTCGGTGAGTGAATGTGGACAAACGTCCTCTGTCGTCCCTTTCTCTCCCACCCGAGTCCCCACCCTATCCAGCCCCCCTCGCATGTCCCCACCAGTGTCCAAAGCTCCGGGTACTCCCACCCCCGCACATGCTCTCGTCTTTCTCCGTTCGCGTGTCGCGTCTCCCTTTCTCGCGGTTCGATTTCTCTCTCTCTCTCTCTCTCCCTCTTTCCGTCGTTCGGTCGTCCCCTCAAGCGGTCTCGGGTGTCCCCCTGTCCCCCACCGCTTCTCTGTCCTTCTCTCTCCGGTTCTGTCTCCGGTATCGTCGAGGCAACCTAGGGTCGCCGTGGCACCGAGGGTACTTACTTACCCCCATCCGTCCTCGCGACCGGACCTATCGTCCCCCACTCCCGATCGACCCTACTACTAGCACCGTCAGCGTCATTTCTACCACTACCATTGCTACTACCACTATCGTGTTTACTACTACCACACCGGCGTCGGCCGTCGTCAGTCCGGTACCACCACTAGTGCTGTGCCACCACTATACGCCGAGTATACGGAGGACGACCGCGATGAGTCGCGCGGCGTATCCCCTCCATCCGGATTTTCTCATGAGACTCCGGCATCCATCAACCTGCTGCTGCCGCCGCCGTCGTACCGTCTCGACTTGTACGAGGACCATCCGCACGCTACCGGCGCGGCGCGGCAAGGAGAGAACAGTATTCGCAGGTATTCGTCATGATGCGATTTCGATCACTCGATTTTGACAGTACGCTTAGGGATCATAGGACTTGAAATCCGTTGAACTTAATAAAAAAATGTTGGTCATATGCTTTTCCCCCGCCACCAGATTAAAATAATGAAAATTATGTTACATGTATGTTACGCAAATAAGTATGATATACACCGTTTCATCATTGCTTAAGACGTGCATAATCACGTGGAACTCAATTTGTTTCAAACTGTATGACTGAGATTAAAGTGAGATGCATAATGCACTCCGTTGTATATACACACGATACTATCCAGAACTTAATACAGGCTACTTTGTAGTGCAGTTGTGCGGATAATCCGATGCGAGTTGCACTTTGATATTCGAGGAGAAAGTTGATGTTGCGAAGGTGGTGGACGGTCATAAGTAGTTCGATGCAAGGTGCGTTGTACAAATGAACTCTCAGTTCGTAATCGTAAACGTACGTACAGCAATATATGTTCATTTGTGTTCGAATAAAAATAAAAAATAAAAAATATATATATACTATATATATATATATATATATATATATATATGACTACATAACTCTGTTTTTATATTAGCTGTGTAGTTGTGTTATTATCACTGTTATGGACATTTCGAGATTTCCATATTTTAAAACAGTAATTACAGTGGAAGAACCGTGTAACGGTTAATTAACTATTCCACGAATGTTCATGTAACAACGGGCTCGCAAGTTCCTCATTCAGGAATGACTTCGAAATCAGGTGTATGTCGATACAGGAGTACGGTTCGTACGAGATAAAGGAAGCTCTAATTAAAGAAAATACAGATTTTACATAACATTGCTGTCCCGCAATCGTTACTGCGAAAGGGGGAGAGGAACGCAGAATTCACGCAAAAATCACCGAGAGCGCGGTACCGTGGTGGATTCCAACAGTGCCATTACATCGCGATACGATTATTTATTGCTAGTCCGAACTCTATTGAATCACGATTCCTTGCCGCGACGTTATCGAAAGTATGCGCGCGTGAGCACCGATGCATGGAATGCATTTTGTATTAACTCTCTCCCCGCTCCTCCGTCTCTCGTGCATGCTCACCCTCTCGTCTTTGAATTAATAATCGTAGTCCACGGTACCGAACGTGACGCGTGAGAGATCGGCCGGTTGATAAATCGCGTATAATAAACGCTGGATAAACGTATGACAAATCGATGTATCGTCGTGAAATCGATATAAGTATCGCTCCGGAGATTTATTGTTACCTTGGGTGCAACGTTCCTTAATGAGGCAAAAGCGGATCATCGGCCGCTCGTCGCCTCGTAAGTCGCTTCGCGCTTAGTCCGCGTCGCGTTATGGCAATCGTGGCCGGGGAATTGCGCGCACTTCGTGCGCTCGGCCGCGCAAAAGAGAAAAAAAAAATAAGAACGTCGACGCTTTCTTGGACACGGTGTCGAACGTATAGCGACGCAGGTTGTGGTGTGCGCGCACACGGCTCATCGTGTCGTCGTGGGGAACACCTATCCAATACCAACGGGGACCAGCAGCGGACGCTTTCCCTCTAGAACCGTCACGCTTTTCGCACCTGACGATTACTATCTCGGGACACGAAAGTTTATGGATCTCCTTATAGCCCCGGCGGACTTGGCGCGGACGCGCAGATCGTATCGCGGATCGCAGCGGCGGCCGCGGCGGCGGCGGCGGCGATTGTATTTCGTATACGACGAAAACGCTAATCGAACGTGTTGCGCGCTAATGCTTCTCTCCTATCTGTTTCTTCGTTCTCCCTTCATCAGTCTGTGAGCTCCACACTTGTCGGACGGGATGATCGAAAGTGTCTATCGCTCGATGCGATTGACATTCATCACACAAATATGTACGAACGATAAGAGATTGGAGTAATTAACGTAGTTACTTTTTTAGGAAGGACACTGTGATCGTCTTTTATCAGGGAACCGTGATGCATATGCCTATACAGGTATAAATTATTGTAAAGCGTTTATTCTTCGGTTTCTTACGATTTAAGTCGGTCGATCTTTTCATAGCCAAAATTGGATCATTAGCTATTTTTGCAATTTGTTAATTTTTATTAAATTAAATCTGTGGAATTTAATAAAAATAATACTTGTATGTAAAATTAGATGAAAAGTTGTACAACTGCTGTACAAAAGAGGAAAGGAGAAAAAAAGAATTTTGCGACAAGTCTGTTGTTTTCTTTTTAAAACAAGGTGAACAAGATTAATCTAAAAGCTTGATTGTGATTTGAAATCTCAAACAGATATTGTGATCGTTTCAGATGACTGAGTATTAATAATGACTTGGAGAGTATTCTTTTTTTTTTTCTCTTCGAGACGAAGGATTTCGGGGGAGAGCCCGACAGATAAATCTCTCATTGCGTGCCGATGGGAAAGTCGTCGCGGCCAGGATCCATTACGTGATTTCTTTCTGTGCGATCGATAAGATTTGAGGGGGCGGCGTGGTACCGCGCCGCGTGGCGGCGACGATGGGCCTTTTGCCAGCGTGATTGTCGTTATAGGTGCCATATCGAGGGGGTCCCTGCGAGCGGTCCCGAGCCTCGCGGCCGGGCCCAGCGTGGGATCAATAAAAACCAAGGAGTCATCGCGATTGGGCGCCACTTGTCATTAATGACTATCCGGTTTTTCGATTTAATTAAAACGGCGATGACGATCTTGCCACCTAAATGCCGGCCGTGGCGAACAAGCCGCGCCGGTCATTTAAAATGAAAGATCGCGACTAGATAAAGATAAGGATCAGACGCGCGTAATGATCCTTCCGTTGCTCTAAACGTACGGTCGAAAATCGCTGACGATTGCCGATATCGATGTCGGTTTCGCGTTCGGCTTTAAATAAAATCATTAATTAGACGAACGGATTCGGAGCGCGCATTTCAACGGTGTAATCGATAATCCGTATTTTGCGCGGACAAGATACCGCAGGAGAGAGAGAGGCACCACAGTGCCGCTGAATTACACATACATAACCACGCGCGCGGAGAAGCGGGAGAGATACGTTGAATATAAAAACAAATCGCGTCAGTCGGTGGCGTACGAAATCGCATTTCCCGCGGCAGTGATAAACAAAACAGAATTATCTACGGACCGTCGCTATTTACCCGATCCTTGTTTTATTTCCCCTGACAGGCGCGCGTTGTTTTTTGCGTAATACCGGGTGCACGCGGTCGAAGCCGGATTCGCGGGCGCGCGTGTGTGCGTGCGTGTGCTTCGCACGCACGCGTATGTGTGGGTGTGTGTGTGTGTGTGTACGCGCGTGTGTCAACGAATTTTTCCGCGAGCACGTCCGCATATCGAGGGGACGGTAATCCGATACCGAACGACGTCCCCGTGTGCGCTTGATTTGCGCGATATAAATGAAAATTAAACGGATCGCCCGTTCGCTTTTGTTCGCGGTTAAATTAACGGGTTCGAAAAATTTGCATCTTCGCGATCATCGTGTGTCATATCGGAACTACGCATGCTACGTTATGTATTTTAATTCGTCGAGGATATGAGAGAATATAATTTTTGGGGAGCGTTTTTTTTTCTAAAAGCCAAGATAAAAGGTTGATTTAATGGCAAATGTGTCAGCTTATCATTACGTTATCTAATCATGAATATATTTTAAATTTTCTATTCTTCGGTTTTTTGTTTTTCTAGAATTAAAAGATGTAACTAATTTTTTAATTCATTTCCGTGTGACATTTCGAGAGAGCGTGTCTTTCGTTCTTTCGCGATTCCAGTCCAAATAACAGAGGGGAAAATGCGCGAATCAAGAAAAATTGCCCGAGGCAGTCTAATCCTATTTCCCGAAGCGACGCGATGGACGAAGCTGACGAATTATCCGCCGTTATTTACTCAGTTTCTCGTTTTTTACCCCCCCCCCGTTCCCGTACGTTACACATTTCCATTTTCCACAGTTTCGAATCTGAGAAAATTTCAAAAGCCGTTCTTTCACGCAGTTATTGCGCCAGTCCGTTCCGTCGAAGAGAGTCGAATAATACAACCAATTCCGTCTAAACGACAAGGATTGCTGTTTCCGCACGATGAATACCAATATTCGTGATCGTTGAGATACGCTCGCTCTTGAGTAAAATCTCTTCCCAGACAAACACGATTACACCGGGCGATATGAATGCTCTTCCCTCCCTCCCTCCCTCCTTCCCCTCCCGGCATAGTATTTCCCTAACTACTCGAGAAACCGATGCCCCTGGCGAATGCCCTTCGACATTTTCGCGGAGAGCCAACACTACCGCGGTTCTATCGACAGTTTTTTTTTTTTATACGGATGTACATCCCGCGGTGTTTACGGGGGCGGCTTTCGACCCTTTTCGAAAACCGAAAGCCTGACGGTCGGTCGATCCCGGGTGCACCCGGCCACGGAATGGAGATTCGAGTTTGTACGTGCGCGCGTGTATATGCACGTTATATACATATATGTATAACCGCACGAGGACGTCCATGGTGGGATGTAATATCAATACGCCGCGGAAGCTGGATAGTCGCGTCTGATTTTCCGAGCGCATCGGCACGTGGATAATGTTTTAATGGAGTTTGCGGAGTGCGAGGAGCGCGAGCGGGAGAAGGAGAAAGGGAGAGGGATACTTGGCCGGGATGGTAGAGGCCAAGGGTGAAGTCGGCACACGGTTTACATACCATTTACTCGCGCCCTGTAACCTTGTCGAACGCTTGTTTACAGTGTTGTACAAACGGCGTCGCCAGCATTCGCGATGCCGATTCCATCATAAGCTTCCGTCGTTGCGAATATTAAATAATTTTCATTCCTTCGGCTGGCCCGCGTCTTCTATCATTCATTGATTTGTTATTTAATTTTTTTGAAAGTTACAGAAATTAATTTTTTAATGTATCTTCTTTCAATAGTGAACGATTCTCTCTCTCTCTCTCTCTCTCTCTCTCTCTCTCTCTCTCTCTCTCTGTGTCAGAATTTTTTATTCAAATATTTTAGAAATTCAACATTAATTTAAAAAATGATGATGA